CAAATGTAAAAATGACGTTGTGATGATGTCAGTATGCATATCAAATATAATAAACTTAGCATTTATACAATGTTATTTATTTGAACTGCATTATCCAGATCTTTTCCACCATCTTTCCTCGTATCCCCTGCCAACTGTGCAGCCACCACCTCGGGTACAAACCCCCCCGGTTGGAGGTCGCTGCTCTAAAACACAGATTTGTATTTTTGAAAGGCAGAGCAGCTGATATCAGTCTTCAATGAATGATAGTCAGTTTGGGAACAGCTTGTGTTCGGATCCTCTCAGTCTCCCTGGCTGTCAGTCGGCTCTGTGAAATAAAATTTGCCGCCTGCAAAAGGCACATTTCATGGGTTCAGATTGAGAGGCATGATGTGGCACAGTTCAGCCTGTTGCTGAATGCGTTAGAGCCTCTTCTCAGCAGCTTCCTGCGATGTCAAGGCGTGACTCATCATCAGTGAGCGCACCGCTCACTGACTCTACTGTGGGGGAAGAGAAACGTGCATCATAGACATGCAGCGGTTAAGGACGCGGCTCCGGCTCCATCATCTGTGCGGCTGACAAGTAATCCATGATGCTGCTTCCCACGGTTATTTGAGGAGATGAAATTATTTGCCAAGATTGAGGGCGAACATCTATATCGGTGTGAGAAGGGCAGCAGCATTAGACTGAGTCATCTCTTGGTGGGCAATGACTATTTAAGACACTGGTAGTTTCTCAGCTGGGACCACTGCAAATGTAGAGATCAAGCATTCCACCTCAAAAGGGTCAAAGCACATGGCAGCAGATCACATTTAGAAAACAACCTAAAGGGAATTTTCACACCTCGTTTGAATAGTTCCGAACAAAACAACACTGAAAAGGCCAATGCACACAAATACAGTGGACAGGAGGAGTCCCGCACCCTGTCCTGTTCTTGCAATAGTCTTCACCTCCGATGACACTTGAGTTTTAAGAAGTTCAGACTCACATTTTCACTTATTGAATCAGTTTTGTTGCATGTTACAAACAAATCTACCAGAGAATGTGTTTTACCTGACGGATGATAATAAAAAACTAACCAGTGCAGTGGTCTGATTGAAGGGAACCTCCGCGCTGTGTTCTGTCACCACTTCACCGTGGAGATGGATTTACAGTGACACATTAACATCGTGACACCACGATGGCGTCAGCAGCGGTGAGGAGACGGACAGTAGATCTGATGGGAGCCCAGTCCTGAGTAAGCAGTGACTGTTAACATGGGAAGTTTTGTTTTCTTATCAAGCAAAATCCAAAGTTTCTAAGCCACGCTCGAGTTGTCCGGAGTCGAGAATAAACATTTACTAAGAGAGGAATCCTCGGCTGTTTAAGGTAAAACAGACGCTAAGTTCCCGATAGTTACGCTGCAAAATTATTTGAGAAAACTTCTCGATTTAAGTCTCAGCCAGCAAGATTTTTAAAAATATGACTTAAGAAGTTAAAGGACACATTAGGTCTTTGTTAGCAGAGTTGAAATGAAGGGTGTTCTTTAAATAGCCGTAGAATTTAATCTCTGAGGAACGCTCTGCTCCACATCTTAGCAGCAGGAGAGAGAACTTTTTTCAGCTGCTAGGTGTCAGTGACGGATAAATCCACTGTTACTAAGCTACTTTAACTATTTTACCAGCATAGGAAAATAAAACATCTTAAAGTTTTAAACATGTCATACATGAAGTTGTTCAAGGTCTTATTTTCCACTTGTAGAAGAAGAGCAGCTCAATTCATCAGCTGCTCTCCTGTGTCCTCTGTTCAGAGCTGTTTCATTCTGTAAATGTCCCTGAATGACTTTCTTAACTCACCAGCCTGGACCAGCGTTTCCAGCCATGTTAAACAAACCAGCACACGTGCACAGTGACCGTGATAATCTCCGGGCTAAAATGAGCTGGCGGCTCAGAGTCTGGGCACAGAGACGATCACGGTCACTGTGCAGGTGTTCGGTTTAACTTCTCAGCTGGAAGAGAAATCAAAAGATTATAAAACACAGTCGCTGTTGCACTGTGGGAAATGTTTGGAACACATAAAAAGATGAACCCACTTTGCACTTGGTTTATAACATCAGTGAACATTTTCAAACAGAGGTTAAATCACAGTCCTGATAAGAGTAAAATAGACAATATCGCTTGGTATTAATGGGACACGGCTAACGTGTGATAGACAGCTACTGACGTCCAATGGGTGCAGGTCGTGTCCTCGAGCGCTCAGTCAGACTCACCCCCGCTCTTCTAGAGTATGGTTACTTCAAAAAAACAATATGGCACTCAGCACTTCAAAGCGACGCTTCACAAACCTCTGGGGGACGTCATGGTGGGTTGAAGCACTGCAGACTGAAGCTGTAGCTCCTGTAGATTTTCTGGAAAGGTGAATGTTTTTCTGCAAAGAAAATAAATACAGATTAACAACAGTTTGGAGTATATCTACTGTATGTGTGTGTATATTTATTTCCCACAGTCAATTTGTTACTCTTGAGAAGCCAGATATAATTTTCCGTTCACCGCCCAACATATTTGCTTCCCTCTGTTGCCTCAGCAGAAACTTTAAATTGAAACTGATTTACATCACAGTTGCCGGAGCCTCCACAGTGCATCTCAAATCCTCTCCAGAGACATCCTCAGTGTGCGTTATATCCTTCATTGTGACAATAACACTGCTGCTGTGCTGCTCCTCTCTTGTTAAAAAAACATGACTCAGGAAATTGATTTCAGACACGAGCTTAAAATGCCATAGAAAGCCGCTCTTGACATGTCTGCCTTAGTGATCCCAGACTGCAGCAACATCGGCCCTGTGTGAACCCTTCTATCAGAAGGACTCACACTGGTGAACACTGGTTTATAGGCCTGTAAATGAGGGAGGGGCCCTGAGAGCTCAACACCACACAACTTCTGATAACACTCGCAATTAAACAAAACATAAGACATTAACATAAAGCGAATGCACACAATCAAATAAACATACTTCCTTTATGTACAAAAACAGGTTTGTTCATTTCAAAGGATGTAAACCATCACTGCCAACATCGCCATTATTAAACATTATTAATATTTCTATTTCTTTCTCATGTCCTATGATCATGTTGCTCCCCCACGATATCTGGTGGTCCTGTTCTGTTTCATCCATTTCATCTGTATCTGAGCATAAATTAGCCTTTAGTTTGTCATCTGAGGAACTTTAAGTATTTATTTTAGTACCTGTATTTATTTATTTTATTATTTATTGAATACACTTCTATTTGGTTGTGTTGTGAGCACTAGCGACTGCATGTGTTGTGTCAAACTTTCAGGGCCACTGTACAATCAGCACAGGCTCGAACTATAAATGTGACAATCTGAACAAATAAATATTGAACAGCTCCAACGAGTGGAGAGGACAATGGCCGTGAGGACAAGGCTGAAAAGAACAGTTGACTGTGCTAATATTTGTGCTCTATTTCTTCAGCTTAACTGTGAGTTGCAGCTGGTTCTTTGTTGGCATTTCTTCCATATTCCATTCTCTTTCAACTCAAGTGTGTGTGTGTCTGTGCTCATGCACAAGCAGGCACCTTCCCGCGCCCATTGTTGGTTTTAATGTATTTTTAATTTCCCATGAAGTGACTGGAGTCCTCAGTGACCAGCACTCCATAATTGGCTGCCTGTGTGAACATCAGTCAGCTTAACGAGAGTGAGAGAGGTTCTACTGCTCTAGGTGCACACACACACACACACACACACACACACACACACACACACAGACACTCACATCTGCAAGTAAATGCAGCTGGCTCTCGTTTTTGTCTTCTCCGTCTTCTCCTTTCCTTCCTGTCCTCTGCAAGACACACACACAGACACACACACACAGAGGGAGAAAGTCTCATTAATCTAGCTGCTGCTGCCATTGCGTCCAGAGGGCTCAGACAGGAAGTGTTTACCTGCTGCTCTGTGTGTTTGGGAATAGTGTATGAATATGAATACAGCCGATACAATTAGCTACACCCTGCACGTTAGCACGGCTGTTAGCTGTGGCCCGCTCGCCTCGCTGGCTAATGCATGTGTGCAGACACCTAGTTTCTCGGCTGTCTGGCTGCAGAGGCACGGGAGACATGATGCTGCGGAAAGTATCTTACCTTGAGTTTAATAGAAAGCAATTGGATACGGAACAATTAGAGATGCAGAGGATATTCTTTCAGCAAACACACACAATAGTTCTCAGGAGACAAAATACACAACATGACGCAATATTCAAAGACATTTTTGTCATATATAGGATTTATTTACACTTTCTATTTACAGATTTTTGTTTCAAAATCTTCTCTGTACACATTTTTAAATTCAAGAACCACCAGTCCTGTCACCCACAACGCTCTAGTATTATTCAATTTTTCTGAGTATTCAAGAGGCAGAAACACACAGGGGAGGATTCTTCTTTACTCTGTTTGGTTTTCATAAACACATCTGCGCGTCTGGAGAAGTAGAGCGAGAAAAAAATATTCAAAAAGAAATGAAAGCAGGCGAAAATGTTACTTAAGGATTCGCTGGCGAAGATGCTCCCAAGAATGTTTGAAGTTTGCCTGTCTGTGTGTGTGTGTTCACCAATAGAAAAAGGGCTCCAGCCAAACTTCATCACCATAAAGATTCATGCGTTAATGTGACACTGGTAGCAGCTGAATGTGTTAACGTGATTGTTGAAATCTGATTTGCAGCTAATTCTTCTAACGAGGTATCACTGCCTATGACATCACAGCAAAAACGGAGAAATCAATGAAAACAGATTTAAATTTTAAAAAAGGCTTGAAAACACACACACACACACACACACACACACACACACACACACACACACACACACAC